CTAATACTGATTGGTCATGTATGATGAGCTTATTTCCAGATGGAGTATATGCATACCCTGTATGAAGTGCCATGAGAAAGTAGCTTAGTAAAACACTTTCTGTGGTGTGACGGCATATTGTCATAACGTTGCTTCTACTGAAGGGGAAATATTCTGAATTAATCCCCACTACACTTGGGCTGTTATTTCACGGTAGGGCACGCTTGTTTTCCTGCAACACTCACATGACAAGTACTTCCAAGTGAAGTATTTCTATGACAAAAATACCACTTCAGCTTATCTTCACACGATAGGACTTCTTTATCTTGTACCGATTCCGGACGCTTGGTAGCAGTTGATACATAGGGTGCACATGCATGGAGGTGCGCAAGGATACAAACATGCGCACACCATACACGCAACTGCATTCAGTGACTAATAGATCACTCGTCATCAGATATCACTACACCTGGGAGAAAACATTCTTTCACAGGGGAACACAGATTCCGTGGTAACGACCGTTCTAGTTCGCCTCTTAAAGTACTTGCAAGTTTAATTTGCTAGAAATACATATATTTTAGTATCAGTTTTTAAACACTCTGACGGGTCTAGTGTACCCTACCCTCCACGCAAATATCGTGCACAAGGAAGACAGTTAATTTTGTCTCATCGGCCAGGCGGGATGTGGATGGGATAGCGTGGAATCTACTTTGACAGGAATAGCGTATATACCTACGTTGAAATTCCGAGCGTCTTTGATCTGGTACCGCCATATTAGTACGTAGTTTACAATGACATTTCATGTCTCTTAACATTTCACGCCGTCTTCGACCTCGTTTTGGCTTACACGAAACAAGTTGACACTGGTTATGGTGTAATTTAAATACGATTATGTACGGCTGATATAGGTTTAGGGAGGTTGTGTTTTGTCACTTGCTGTGGAACTGTAACATCCCTGCTTGGTTCTGCCTGGACCGGTGGCGACCTAGCACATGTATAAACATATGTGCTGGGGAAAGAGAAGTACCAGCTTGTGGATAGGTACAAAAACAACTGCAAAAGGACTAGCTTGTAGATAGATATAGAAGACATCTCCAAATGGTCTAGCTTGTGGATAGACAAATGCAAAAGGACTGTGAGAGGCATATGTTAATAATTTAATTTTCCTAAATATTGACTGGATGAAAGATTCCGAATTTGTTGGCCATTTTTGGACATCAGTCCCTTCATCTATCATCTGTCATACTGAGATGTCATTCCTCAATCAGACCCGCATTATCAATGGGCACCTCAGCGGTAGATAGTCTAGCCTTGACCATAGACCAGCGGTTAGTGTCCTCTCTTTTGTAAAGATCATCAGCGGGAAGCAGTATGATATGTTCTAAACACGAATAAAGCCAGATAAAGGCGTCCCATAGGGTTATAACGAATCCAAAGACGTCAACGAAAGACCTGTTTCACTTTGAGCGGCCGAGCTCCATCTTTGTTCAAATACGACCTTGACGTAATCGGTTGATTGAAACAGTTTGCCGGTTGTGGGTCTTCCTAAGTGTCCGGAACGGGACATGCAGCAGCAGCTACTGCCTACAGGCTAACAGCTAAACAGAAACCCCATCCAAATAAGGAAGCCGTTTAGCCTTGAAGACCATATTCCGTATCTCCAGCAAATACCACGCAAATGACCACATTTAGAGGCGTTCTCTTACGCCACAAAACTCGTTATGTTAATTGCCTTCTTCTAGCTAAGAACAGAATTTTTTTTTTTAATCTGAGAACTTGAATTCCCTCCTCTATTCTGTCATATGTACGATGTAAAAGATATTTGATTTGTCACTTATAAGCTTTTCAAAAGGTGGACGTTATTGTGATGATTTGTTGTATTCCCTCCGATGCTATGATATATTTGGAGAAGGAGGATATTGTTAAGTACCTCCTTTAGATTATCGTCTTTATGCTTGTGTGTTTCTTGTGTGGCGAAATCGACATATTTCGTGTGCTCCGAAATGTCTTCGTCAGTACAGAATAACGTGATAGGTGATAGTGTCAACAATCGGGCACATTCTGAAGGTAGTTGACTATTAGATCCTGCAATGGTTGATTGCATGTGTATGCGTTAACGTGTATACCCTTGCCTTTAAGAAACAGTTTGCTACTCAAATATGTTCAGTTAGAGCAAATCCCGATTCAACCCTGCCATTTTGGAACATCTTTGAAACAGCAGTTCTTTCTGATTCTCTATGCAAGCGTAATCGTACAGTCAAAGAACCACTGCATTTGATAATACTGACCGTAAACGCACGCTGATGGTGCGACGTGAGTTGTGTGAGTGGTATACGCTGATGGTGCGACGTGAGTTGTGCGATCGGTATACGCTGGTGGTGCGACGTGAGTTGTGTGAGTGGTATACGCTGATGGTGCGACTTGAGTTGTGGGAGTGGTAAACGCTGATGGTGCGACTTGAGTTGTGCGAGTGGTATACGCTGATGGTGCGACTTGAGTTGTGCGAGTGGTATACGCTGACGGTGCGATGTGAGTTGTGCGAGTGGTATACGCTGATGGTGCGATGTGAGTTGTGCGAGTGGTATACGCTAATGGTGCGATGTGAGTTGTGCGAGTGGTATACGCTGATGGTGCGACGTGAGTTGTGCGAGTGGTATACGCTGATGGTGCGATGTGAGTTGTGTGAGTGGTATACGCTGATGGTACGATGGTGCGATGAGTTGTGCGAGTGGAGTGGTATACGCTGATGGCGACGATGCGAGTGGTATACGCTGATGGTGCGATGTGAGTTGTGCGAGTGGTATACGCTGATGGTACGATGTGAGTTATGCGAGTGGTATACGCTGATGGTGCGATGTGAGTTATGCGAGTCGTATACGCTGATGGTGCGATGAGTTGTGCGAGTGGTATACGCTGATGGTACGATGTGAGTTATGCGAGTGGTATACGCTGATGGTGCGATGTGAGTTGTGCGAGTGGTATACGCTGATGGTGCGACGTGAGTTGTGCGAGTGGTATACGCTGATGGTACGATGTGAGTTGTGTGAGTGGTATACGCTGATGGTACGATGTGAGTTGTGCGAGTGGTATACGCTGATGGTACGATGTGAGTTGTGCGAGTGGTATACGCTGATGGTGCGATGTGAGTTGTGCGAGTGGTATACGCTGATGGTACGATGTGAGTTATGCAAGTGGTATACGCTGATGGTGCGATGTGAGTTGTGTGAGTGGTATACGCTGATGGTGCGATGTGAGTTGTGCGAGTGGTATACGCTGATGGTACGATGTGAGTTGTGCGAGTGGTATACGCTGATGGTACGATGCGAGTGGTATACGCTGATGGTGCGATGTGAGTTGTGCGAGTGGTATACGCTGATGGTACGATGTGAGTTATGCGAGTGGTATACGCTGATGGTACGATGTGAGTTATGCGAGTCGTATACGCTGATGGTGCGATGTGAGTTGTGCGAGTGGTATACGCTGATGGTACGATGTGAGTTATGCAAGTGGTATACGCTGATGGTGCGATGTGAGTTGTGCGAGTGGTATACGCTGATGGTACGATGTGAGTTATGCGAGTGGTATACGCTGATGGTACGATGTGAGTAATGCGAGTGGTATACGCTGATGGTACGATGTGAGTTGTGTGAGTGGTATACAGCACATTTCACTATGCCACCTCCAGCAAGCAGCAACGCTACATAGACTCGATGTTAAAATATTAACACTTCCCGGCGTAAGCGCCGACATGAACCAACACTAGCAGAATGGAATTATTTCAGATCGATACCAATTGTGGAATGTGAATTGGGGGTCGCTAGCTGGTTGTCTCGCTGTACGCGGACCTATATGGGCATATATAGGTCTCGTCTTGGAGACCTAGGAGACCTATATGGGCATATATAGGTCTCGTCTAGGAGACGAATATGGGCATATATAGGTCTCGTCTCGGAGACCAAAGAGATCTGTATGGGCATATATAGGTCTCGTCTCGGAGACCTATAAGGGCATGTGCGTCTCAACTCGGTTCACGTTCCCGGCCAGAATGGCCATCTTGATGTCCGGCGTCTGCCTATAGGCTACACTTGGATCATAGAGGCTTATTTCAAATTCCACCAACGCAACTGCAATGCACCTAGAAAAATATATATTTCCATGTTTCATTATACAACGCTTTACTCATATGGATGTTCCTGCGATAGAACGATGTTTTCTGCAAAATGCTATGAAACTGAAATATTTGCATATGGGCAATAAAAAATGGCCTACTATTAAATGTCGGCTCGTTTGCAGAAGCGTCTAGTCACATGAGACATTTGGTCTGAAATTACAAGATGAAGATGAAAAAGCTATGGTACACTATCTCAAGAAATTATATTAATGACTGACGGATGTATTACAGAGTCTACACATTATTGAGTCTGCGTGCTGATCTAAAAATAGCATTGCAGGTGCGGGCCGCTCGCCGTTCCATGGCGAATACGGTGGAGAATATTTGCCGATCTTCAAAGCTCAGAGGCAACCGGCGTATTACTGAATCACCATTGATTTTACAACGGGCTTTGACAGGCCTGATGTTTGGAATTGATTGGTTATTTTCTTGGCCAAGAAGATGACACGGTGACTAAAAGCGACATCAAGTTCAAATAACTCATGAGTCATGCTATATGCAAATACTCAGCTGCGAATTCCAGTATAATAGATCTGTACTGTGCACATCACTGCACATGCATGAGGCGAGCAAGAAATAAAGTACCAACGAACTTGACCGTACTCAAGAGTGATTTAAAAGCATTTTTCTGTAGGTCGTGGGAATCTCAGCCAGGAGGCCATAGACTATTGGTACCAATGTTTTGTTTCACTGTTTGAAGTGTGGTTTTTATTTTTAGAAACGTAGCTGTACTGTACTTATGGTCACCATTTTATTATGTTGGCTTTTTAAAATATTTTCATGCCGAATTAGATATGTATTCTTAGTGTTTGTTTTAGTACTATTTTAACTCCGACTTTCAAATTTTCAGAATTATTCATGAGGGAGGTTTTACGAGCGAAGACAACAAACAGTACAAGCCAGTTGTCTACAGCAATACAATACAGTCCCTAGTCGCCATCATCAGAGCTATGGGCACGCTCAACATAGCTTTTGGGGATAACGAAAGGGAGGTAAGTCGTGTGCAGGGATAAATATTGTGTGTCCACCTGGAATAAACGGAACGGTTTTAATACTCCAGACTGTTTTGTGTAACTTTTGAGGCAAGCAATTTAAAACACAATAGATGTTTGATTTGTTACTTTTACTTGAGTTAATTACCAGCAACTGTTTGTAGTTGATGGAAAAAATGTGCCACATATTAGCATAAACACATTGCTGCACCAGGATTAGGATAACACTGCCTTTGGATGTTAAGTAAGTAGAGTGTCACTCAAAGTAACAATAAGAGTCACAGATATTGATGTGTATGATAATCAATCACTGTAACACACATTGATGGTCACAGCCCACCATGATCACACACATTTAGACTCAGGCCTCCTGTGGTGATGTCGCACAGATATGGTGATCAACTGCTGCAAGTAACAGACATTGATATCACAACTGCTGATGGTGACCTGTGTCACTTTGATAGTTGCACACACTGATGACCACACATTGAAGATAACACACACTGCTGGTTGCACTCATTCAAGATAACACACTGATGGTTGCACACATTGAAGATAACACTGGTGGTTGCACACATTCACTACCCATGAGGATAACACACTGATGATCACAGATGAAGATAACACACACTGGTGGTTGCACACATTGAACATAACACACTGATGGTTCCACACATTGCCCACGCATGGAAATAACACACACTTGTTATTGCACACACTGATGGCCACGCATGAAGATAACACTGATGCTTGAAAACATCGAAGATAACACTAGTGGTTGCACACATTGAAGATAACACTGGTGCTTGCCAACATTGAAGATAACACTGGTGCTTGCAAACATTGAAGATAACACTGGTGGTTGCAAACATTGAAGATAACACTGGTGCTTGCCAGCATTTAAGATAACACTGGTGCTTGCAAACATTGAAGATAACACTGGTGCTTGCAAACATTGAAGATAACACTGGTGCTTGCAAACCTTGAAGATAACACTGGTGGTTGCACACATTGAAGATAACACTGGTGCTTGCCAACATTGAAGATAACACTGGTGCTTGCAAACATTAAAGATAACACTGGTGGTTGCAAACATTGAAGATAACACTGGTGCTTGCAAACATTGAAGATAACACTGGTGCTTGCAAACATTGAAGATAACACTGGTGGTTGCAAACATTGAAGATAACACTGGTGCTTGCAAACATTGAAGATAACACTGGTGGTTGCAAACATTGAAGATAACACTGGTGCTTGCAAACATTGAAGATAACACTGATGCTTGCAAACATTGAAGATAACACTGGTGCTTGCAAACATTGAAGATAACACTGGTGGTTGCAAACATTGAAGATAACACTGGTGCTTGCAAACATTGAAGATAACACTGGTGGTTGCAAACATTGAAGATAACACTGGTGGTTGCAAACATTGAAGATAACACTGGTGGTTGCAAACATTGAAGATAACACTGGTGGTTGCAAACATTAAAGATAACACTGGTGGTTGCAAACATTAAAGATAACACTGGTGGTTGCAAACATTGAAGATAACACTGGTGCTTGCAAACATTGAAGATAACACTGGTGCTTGCAAACATTGAAGATGACACTGGTGCTTGCAAACATTGAAGATAACACTGGTGGTTGCAAACATTGAAGATAACACTGGTGCTTGCAAACATTGAAGATAACACTGGTGGTTGCAAACATTAAAGATAACACTGGTGGTTGCAAACATTGAAGATAACACTGGTGGTTGCAAACATTAAAGATAACACTGGTGGTTGCATACATTGAAGATAACATTGGTGCTTGCAACCATTGATGATAACACTGGTGGTTTCAAACATTGAAGATAACACTGGTGGTTGCACACATTTTGAAGATAACGCTGTTGGTTGCACACAATTGAAGATAACACTGGTGGTTCCACACATTTTGAAGATAACACTGGTGGTTGCAAACATTGAAGATAATACACTTTATATTGTAAACATTGAAGATAAGACTGGTGGTTGCACACAGTGGTGGTCACACTGGAATATATCGCACACTGATGATTTTTGCATACAGTGATGGTCATACTAGTGATTGGACACAGTGGTGGTCACACTGGAAGATAACACACACTGATGATTGCACACACTGATGATTGCACACAGTGGTGGTCACACTGGAAGATAACACACACTGATGATTGCACACAGTGGTGGTCACACTGGAAGATAACACACACTGATGATTGCATACATTGATGATTGCACACAGTGGTGGTCACACTGGAAGATAACACACACTGATGATTGCACACAGTGATGGTCACACTGGAAAATAACACACACTGATCATTGCACACAGTGCTGGTCACACTGGAAGATAACACACAGTGGTGGTTACACTGAAAGATAACACACACTGATGATTGCACACAGTGGTGGTCACACTGGAAGATAACACACACTGATGATTGCACACAGTGGCGGTCACGCTGATGATTGCACACTGGTTGTCACACTGGAAGATAACACACACTGATGATTGCACAGAGTGGCGGTCACACTGATGATTGCACACTGGTCACACTGGAAGATAACACACTGATGATTGCACACAGTGGTGGTCACACTGGAAGATAACACACACTGATGATTGCACACAGTGGCGGTCACGCTGATGATTGCACACTGGTTGTCACACTGGAAGATAACACACACTGATGATTCCACACAGTGGTAGTCACACTGGAAGATAACACACACTGATCATTGCACACAGTGGCGGTCACACTGATGATTGCACACTGGTGGTCACACTTGAATATAACACTGATGATTGCACACAGTGGTGGTCACAATGATTGCACACAGTGGTGGTCACACTGATGATTGCACACAGTGGTGGTCACACTGGAAGATAACACACACTGATGGTTGCACACAGTGGTGGTTACACTGATGATTGCACACAGTGGTGGTCACTGATGATTGCACACAGTGGTGGTCACACTGATGATTGCACACAGTGGTGGTCACACTGATGATTGCACACAGTGGTGGTCACATTGGAAGATAACACACACTGATGGTTGCACACAGTGGTGGTTACACTGATGATTGCACACAGTGGTGGTCACACTGATGATTGCACACAGTGGTGGTCACACTGATGATTGCACACAGTGGTGGTCACACTGATGATTGCACACAGTGGTGGTCACACTGATGATTGCACACAGTGGTGGTCACACTGATGCTTGCACACAGTGGTGGTCACACTGATGATTGCACAAAGTGGTGGTCACACTGATGCTTGCACACAGTGGTGGTCACACTGATGATTGCACACAGTGGTGGTCACAACATGCAGTCAGGATCACTCTTTAAAATATCCCATATTGATGGTCACATCTAAACATTACACATATTGTTGCTTAAAGCAAGTGCTAAACCCCCTTGAAAGTTGTGTAGCACTTATATCCGACTCACTTCATAGCGAGCAAGTAGGTGGGTAATCTGGTCAAACCAAGCAAGGCCATAGCAGGGTATACCTTAGACTAAGGCTTAGTCTCTGAATATATTTAATTTTGATAGTAACAAACAAGCCCATTTATATTGAAAAGGAGCCCTAGGGAGACCAGAGGAAATCTAGACTTGCTTTATTTAGGGCTTTAGCACAGCAGAGAGGGCTTGGCAGTAGGGAAATTAATGTGGTTCAGGGACTGTGAGACAGACTAGGTATACCTCGACCCAGCTAGGTCTGACTGCCCAATATTCCTTCATTTCATGATTTACTTTCACATATATTTACACAACTGCCAATCTACTCTCATCTGAATCACATTCATAAGCACGAATTTGATTTGAAATGTAGGTAGAAGGCTGTCAGGGTATGAAGCCTGTTCTGGATCATGCAGATATTACTTATGTAAATATAAATATGTGTGTAGGAAGCATCACTTTATCAAAATACCACTAATATTGTAAACAACATTTAAAGTTTGTTTCTGCAGACTTTATATTCGAGAGAAACTTTACACAACTCTGTTTAATGTTTTGGCTTGATCTCGTCCAGTTTTCATACAGCACAGACAATGAGTGTAGATATACCAGCTGATTTCCACTCGTTACAGGAAACATATGGTCACATTATGTTTTAGTTGGGTGATACACTTGATCTCTCAATAATAGTCTGTTTCATTTCTAAAGATGATGGATGAGACTATACAGCTTGGGCTGAAAATCTGGTTCTCCGATCTGTCCACCAATCTCCAAAGAGGATATATGGCATGAGTCCAACTATAACATGTCTAGTAGTCATATCACATGGATGCATTAGTGTAATGAGCAAAAGTGATTATCTTAAATGTTGCTTCCCTTGATTATCAATATCTTGATTGTGTCAGTTCCATTGGCTGGTTAAAAAAAACATAAATGGGAATGGTATGGAGTTTGTTGTGTTTGAAAGAGGTCGCTTGTTACGGCAGATATTATGAAAAACCTGAATGTGTATTAGTACAAGGTAATTACTATTTTGATGGTGAAATTCAGCAAGCCTGTATAGCAAGATGCTCAGATGGATTGTGGAGGTAATTGTCAGGCATATTTTAACACATTCCTTCACAATATATGTGTGTCTGTGGATGCTAGTGGAGGGGGATTGGGTTGAAGGTTGGATTGAAGATTGGATTGAAGATTGTGATGACAGAAGGACTGAGGTTGGGTTGAAGGTTGGATTGAAGACTGGGATGACGATAGGACTGAGGTTGGGTTGAAGGTTGGATTGAAGACAGGGATGACGAAAGGGCTGGAGTTTGGTTGATGATTGTGATGACAGAAGGACTGAGTTTGGTTGAAGGTTGGATTGAAGACTGGGATGACGATAGGACTGAGGTTGGGTTGAATGTTGGATTGAAGATTGGGATGACGAAAGGGCTGGAGTTTGGTTGATGATTGTGATGACAGAAGGACTGAGGTTGGGTTGAAGGTTGGATTGAAGACT